GAATCTATGAGCGCATGACACTGTTTATTAAAAATTGAAATAGGCACAGTCATTAAAGACACTGGCAACAATGCGGTAACATTGAAACATGAAGAGGGTTCAGACACATTTGAAGTATGTGTCTCTACTGGACAAATACCACTACTGCCAAGAACCTGCTCAGCTGCGGGTTCCACAATAACAGGAGGCACAGATACAGCAGTTTCTGTAGGGGAACGGTCACTGGTTAGCGCCGAGGTGATCCCCTCTGGCTCGGGCTGGACCGGTTTAAAGAGTCACGAGACAAGTCAGAATTCTGCAAGTCAAAACAAACATTCCGACTGTGAGGCACACTACCAAGTGACCTACGATCTACTTGGCGACAAGGACAAGTTGCAACCATGTGACTATTCGAACCACAAACAAGACATAGACCCAGACGGCGCCGACAATCACGTTTCATGTGTCCAACTCGGTGACAAAAATGGCAAGTGGTGGCCAAGGACCTCTCACGACCGCCAAATCGAACCTGATCCACACCATCACGAGCACCACGATCAAAACGGGGAAACGACTGCGACCGTTTGTGTTCATCTGACTGTTCCCTTGAGAATACCGACTGCACACCTGCATCAGTACACTGTGTAGTTGCATCACACCGGCCTTTCAGGACCCTAACACTTGACTTCATTACCGTCCAAGAGCGCTCACTCTCGCTATCATCTGCAAAAGCTTCTTCTAGTCCTCCAACCAAAGTCACAATCTGCGACCAACTCAGAGGTTTCTTCTCTACTGACCTGGTGAGACTCATGGCACTCTTTATCTGCTTCTGAAACTTACGAGGAATAGACCCAAGAAACTTGTCCTTCAATGTCTGGCTACTACCAGCAGATTTCCTAGGGTAAGCCATTCTAAACAGATTCTCAAGGCGAGCTGCATAGAGCCTGATTGTCTCACCTTGGGCTTTGGTGGCCTTGTTAAACATTGCTCTACTGCCTGCCTCTCTACGTTGCTTTGATTCGTCATACCAACGTAGCATCTTGGTCTTAATTACACTGTAGGAATCACCTGGAGCCCGATGAGCCAAAAGAGCCTTCTGCATCTCTCCCAAAAGAAGTCGGCTCAATTCTCCAACCCAATTTTTATCATCGCCCCTGAACCTATGCCGGCAATAATCCTCAAAATCAGAGAGAAATGCCCGAAAGGAGTAACCAGATGTACTATCATACGGTTCAGGTACCGGCACAGTCCGACTATCCAGTCTTTCTAGAGCATTCAGGAGTCTTTCCTCCAGAGCTAGGTTTGACGACTTGAGCCGCCTGGCTGATACGGGAAACGACGACCTATTTACTCTTGTGCCATGACCAGCATCTGTTCCACAAGAGCTATAAACAGACGACTTCGACCCGCCAGCATCACTAGATTCACCTGTGCTGCTCAAGGATGACCTCCTTACTACGTTCTTCCCAAGAGATGAGCTATTCTCTGGTGCACTTGCAAATAGAATCATTTTACTTTTGAGCTTCTGTACCACTTCAGATGACTCACGAGATATTTTCCCTGACTTGGAACTTAAGGTCATCATTACCCGGTCCACATGGTCACACAACTTCCTAATAACTTCCAATTGATCATCATCTGCTTGGCTTGGACCACACCCAGCATCATCTTCAGAAGTAACCTTCAACTTCCCTCTAGTCTTAGGAATGGCACCCGTCTCAACACCAGCAATGGAAGACACAGCTCCCTGCATTGAAGATCCATGTAAAGGTCTAGGAATTCGACCAGAGAACTCATCAGGACCAGACAAATCATCTCTTGCAACACAGGATTGTTCAATTTGCTCTGCCATGACAAAATTTACCAATCAACAAAGAAGGAATGCAAACCATAGACCAGACCATAAGCAAAACAAGCAAGAAAACAAAGAGAGGAAGAAGATGAGAAAATCTAGATGATGAAATGAATAGGGTCTGGGCACCAAAATATGTTGGGGGCACTCCTAACATTCGAGCTCCAAAGGTCCGGTAAGACCAATATAGTATTGGCTTTTATCTTGCGGAAAACTAGTTGAACCAACCCAACAGCAGGACAATGAAACACAATACCAATCCAGCTAAATGAACTCTAAAACTAGTTGGCACACATATTTTACAATTGAATGAGATGCATCAGGATGAGGGGTTAGTTTAATGGGTGATACACTGGAATGGAAATGGATGAAACACAATAAATAAAGAAATTTCAAGAACCCTAAAACCCTATAGTACATTGATGATCAGTAAAACGTTATAAAGGGAACAGTAAAAATTCTATACAACAAAAGGCTCACAAAACAGTTTGCATGTTCCAGAGACTTCCAGGATCCATGGCCAGTCCTTGAGCAAAGGACTCTTCTCTTCTTGGTATCCTGTCCGTTCTCACGGCTGAAGCAAGGGTAAGGTTCCGGGTTCACCAGTTCACAGCTTGTATAACTTGTGATTAACTGACACCGCACCAAGAATAAACACTTGCACTTGCTTGAACTAAACACTTAGCAAGATAAAAATAGCAATCAGTTGCACTCGGCAAAGAGGTGAATTTTCAGCACAGTTGAGAACAATCACAAAGGTTGCTTATGCTCCCAATCAGATTTCCAATTCTGGGTTATCAGGGAACCACTGAGAAATACTGCACAAGAGATCACTGGTCCTCCAGCATCACAGTCAAAGCAGTGAGTCATGAAACATCAATTCAGTTGAAAGCATAATTACTATTGCCAATTGCAAGTCACTAATCTGTGCACTGTTAGGCAACTGAGACCAACCAAACTGGTGATCCGTATAACATGCTGAAATCACATAACCATGCAACAATCTAGAAAACAATCTGTGCATAGGCTATTTATCATAATTGATGATCTGGAACGAGAAGAGACACAAGGGATTAGGGAGAAATGCATGAGAGAAGGAATGGCAACACAAAATACATGGAGCAAAAAGCCATTCCCTCACACTATAACTATGGGTAAGTAAATCAGTTTATTTCAGTTAGGTATCATGGTTAATGGTTATTAGCATTTTCATACATGAAACATTGGCAGTTTTTTTAGTTTATAGCCATGGCCCCTGGTGTTGGTTCTTGTTTTAAATTCTAATAATCGTTCTGGGACCTTGAATAAACCGTGCCGTGGGTATACTTGTAATGTTTACTTCTTTGAGGTCACCACACCACGGACCACGCAGATATTGATAAGGGATGCTTGGAAGTGAGTTGGAAACTTCATAATTTTTCATCTTTACAAGAGGCCAAGCCCGGGCCGCCAAGGGGCAACTGCCAAGGGCATTTTTAATTTGGATTTTAGAATTCTATTCTAGATGTACATTTTATTTAAAATATTTATTGCTAATATTTGAGAACTGATGAAGTCAACAGAGTGAACTGACTGTGACTGGACTGGAGAGTCTCCAGTCCAGTCTGTTCACTCTGTTTTAGTGTCCAGTGGAGACTGAACTGATCTTAAGTAGGCTATATGAACGAATATTTCTTCAACTCTGAGACTGTGAGATGCAAGTTATAGTGTTGTTGTTGTAATTGTCCATCCTGGCACAGTGGCACTCAGGCTGGCAGTGGCGATTAGGGAGGGGGGGTGATAGGTCAGTTTTTCCAGGCACTCGGTAGTTGGTACCACTGGTAGTTCTACCAGTGGCTGGTACTGGTAGTTCTACCAGTATCACTGGCTTGCTGACCCGCCAGAACCATTTGATTGCATTACACAACACCCTGGACAAGCCAGGTAGGTACTCATTTATCAACCAGAGTTGGATGAATGGCTGAGTTGACCATGAGCTGAGCTTCCCGGTAGAACTTGTCCTCAGTGGGACTCAAACCCGGGCGCTGGGTGCAAGAGACAGTCTCTCACCACTGCGCCACCACAGCTCTGCTGTCAATCAATGTTGTAGTAGTAGCAAGTTTTGCGATGCAAGTTGTAGTAGCATCAGCAGGTGAAGGGCAGACATTGACAAATGTATAAATTTTTATTTCTAAGTCTTCAAGAAATAGCTGGAAAATCAGGCAAAAGCCTGTTCTTGCTGTTGTGTATGCTAAAAAATCACTTGGAACAAGTTCTATACTTGTGGACTCAATAACACACATTAAAAACATAAACTGTCTAAACACTTGGTAAGTTCTCTTCTGGCTAAGAAGAAGAATGCAACAATTCACTTTTCCATAGAAATTCCATGAATTTCAACTTCCCCAACAAATGGAGACTGTGGATAGGCTGCATGTCTAAATGCTGCTCTGTTCAGTCATTTTTGACTAATATATCTGCTTCTGTCAAAACTCTGCTCTGTTCAGCCATTTTCCCATATTCAACTTAATACAACATTGCTGATTTGTTGCAGTGACAAAAGAAGGCTTCATTTACCTGATAAGATTGTGAACGATGAACATTGTTCACTAATATTTATTGCTCGATTGATGCTATCATTCATTCTCATGTGCATTTATGTACTTTTCTCTAAATTATTCTGTGACATCTGGTGAAGCTGCACCAGTAATATTAGAGTTGGACCTTATTGCAGTAGGAGCTACGTAGTGCTAGGTCAAGTCTGTGTGCCTATGGTTGAGAAGTCAGTGGTGTCCTGCCAGCCCCACTAACCTTGACTCACCTTGCTCCGTTGCTCCACTAGTGATCTTGTGCCCCAACACTAGTTCTTTTGGTTGTGCTCTAAAAGTTCTCTCTAGCAGCTTGATGTTTGTACTATTTTATTCAGCATATAGCTTTTAAGTGTTCTTTTCTGAAATAAAAGCCAAGTTTTATCCGTGTTAACCAAATTTTAATCAATGGAATCCCAGTGCAATAAAGTGCAATTGAACTTTTAGCAAAGTCATCATATTTTAACAAGATAGTTGCTGGCGTTTGTCCATAAGGCTCAAGACATTCTGACATTAAAGGTTGCGGCAAACGTCTGGTGACGAGGTTATTTATTTCCTTTGTTATTATTTATTTAAATTTTAATTATTTTGATCAATTTCAGAAAGATGCTCTCAACAGGGCAATAACACATATTGCAATTAGTAGTCCAGCTAGATGTTCAAGGTAGTAAAAGGGTGACAAGCAATGGAGAATCAAACTGAAGATGAAAAAATTTCGCTACTTATGGCAATGGGGTTTCCAGACCTGGATTTGATATCTCAAGCCCTAAAAGCCAGCAGAGGTGACATCAATGAAGCTGTGTCAATGCTTACAGAGAACACCCTTGAGTCTTATGCCACCAAAGATGATCTCACTAAAGTGGCAGATGAGGTAAGAAATATAATGAAAAGAATAAAATTTAGAATTTTAGCAATTTTTTGTTCCAATGCAAGTAATCCACCATTAACATGAAAAGTACTAGACAATTTAAATGATATTGTTCAATGTCTATCACATTCATTAGTAATGTACCTACCTACCATAAAACTTGGACCATTTTTTGCAGTTATTTTTTTATGATACAAATAGTAGTCTCATAGTAAATGTACTCCTATAAATGTATCTCTTTATTGCCTTTATAGGTTAACTACTAGGTACTACTTCAAGAGCCATCAACAAAATTTTTCCAAGACAAGAACTTTTGAGTAGGGTTTTCTATTCTTGAATGTCAAAATAGTCCAAGTCACCCCATTTTACAGTATTACCTATTTCAAAGTTCATGATCTTGTCTTTGCCTTGCCTGTTACCATTATGCCTTTTAGGTTGATGCTTATCACAAGATTATTAGTTTTGCCATTTTGAACAACATCATTTCATAACTTAAAAAGTTGGTACTTTCAGTAAGTATGAATTCAAATTGTTCTTGCTGAAAGAAATTGTGTCTAAGTACGTATTATATAAATAATTATTTTATTTGGACACACATTATGAATAATATTTTATGTGTATATTCAATTTTGCAGCAATGGAACACTGCAGTTGGGTTTCCAAACTCGGTTGCCCAAGCTCTACACAACCGCGTGTTTGCTGATTCTTGGAACATTCCTTACAAAAAACATGAGGCTCTGGGACAGTGTATTACGGCTGCCATTAATCTCGCAAAGCAAGGTAAATAATGACCAGTTAAAATTCATTTGCTAGAAATATACATATGTGTCATATGCAATCTTGAAATGAAATGATAAATGGATTCTTATGAAGATGTGCTTGTCAGCTCTTTTGTGTTATTTTTTATTATGCTTTAAAATTTAAGTTTGAGCATTTATTTTTAGGCTGGAATTCTAGAATAGTAAAGAAAGCTTCAGTCATTTTTGGGTGGATGTATGTCCATCTCCAGACTGTGATTGGTATTGATCTCATCCACTCTAAACTGCGATTGGTTGTGGGATTTTGATGTCATCCACTCCTGACTGTGATTTGTTGTGTCCAATATGCTATGCATCCTGGTTAATTTAATACCTACCTACCTACCTTGCTAAAATTCCAGCCTTTTTTTTATTTTTTGTACCCTAAATTGTGGTATCAATTTTTTACCCATGAGTAGAAATGCATAGTTTAACTTTCAGATAGAGGAAAATTTATAATATATATGGGAAATAAATATTGATAGATCTAATGATATATTGAATTTTTGTACTCTCCTTGTTCACAAAGGGTACTGGTATCTGGGTAGAATTCTTATAGTTTTTAAAATAACTTAGCTACTTGTGTCTTTATCTTTCCTTTTGTTTCAGATCTATGCATGTCAGATTCTGGATGCCGTAGGTTCCTGGATGAACTACTGCCAGAATGCTTTCAGAAGCTCATGGATGCAGGAGCAGTTCGCAGGTTTGTTGAATATTCTCTTTGTAATACCTACAGAGGCTAGCTATTTTTACCATAATGATTGATATCAGAAGTTTTACCCATTGTGGGTAGACTGCTACACCTTTCAAAGCTGATATTAAAATTGCCTTTTCTGTTTTAAATGTGGAGGTAATATCTACATTTGCTTGTGCTTTAGTGGTTGAAAATCTTTCCAAGTCAACTTTAAATGCCCAGAACCACCTAAAATATACCTTATTATATAAATATAAATTTATAATGGCTTGAATATGACATATAAAAACCATTATCTCAAGTAGACTTTGGTTCATGATCTGTACCTATAGGGGATGATGAGCAATCAAAGACATTAGTTCAGGTATTTTCTATTACTGTGTTTCTCAGAATTAGCCACATATTTATTTCTTTAGTCATTAAATCCTTATTTTGAATTTGTGACATCAATAATGCAGAAGTAAATCAGATGGACTTCCTGACTGCTGTATCTCCTATTGCTAATTATTTGTATGATCAATTGTGAATGTAGGTATACATCATTTAAATATACTTGTGCTATTTTAGATGGACAGGTGACATTCAAGAAGGAGTGCTGGACATGGCTGAGATGCTGTTGGATCTTAGTGTTGCAACGCTGCAGTGCAAAGCCATGCCACCTCACCCTGGTGTTATGGCATCTCTTGCCCAGGTTAGCAAGGCTGTATTTTAGGCGTCACCCGTTTAGGTGAATGTTATAGTAATATAGGTAATATTTAGGTGAATATTAGGTACTCGCATATACCGATATGTTATGTGATGAATATTATCACAGTAACAAACTTGTCCATCTTTGGCTAGAATGAAATGATTAAAAAATAACTAATAATAATTTAAAACAATGTAAAACTAAAAAAAATTTGTAGAATGAATTGTAAATTCTAATGACATCTAAATGGATTGAATAGCAATTAATGTTAGAGAATTAGATTAGTTTAGCTCGTCTTGCTCCTGTTTCTATGATTTTTCCATCATTTACAGGTGTTCACTCCAAAGAATGAATTTCACACAAAGAACAAGCTGAAGAAATCAGAGTACAAGGCAACTTCTGCTATTGCCATTACTCCTGAGGTAAGATGGCTGAGTTGGCGTTGCATTTTGTCCGAGCTCATTGTTGATACTATCTTCTTACCAGCGTCCATGAGATCAGCATTATATGGCACGGACTGCATGCTAGAGAATATATCAAATGTTGGAAAATTAGTCACTTAGAAAATATTTTTGATAAAAAATATGAAGTCGCTTATTCTCTGCGCAACTGATGGATTCTTTTTCTCGACAGCCTAACGAGTTCAGTTATGGCTGGCTGGTAGACCTGCTCAATAGGTTTGCTGATCTTGGCGGCTTTGTGGCGCTGCTTGAACGTCTGGCAGAACCTGACCTGCCGCTGGCTCTGCTGGTCTACATGTTACGGCCAATTAGTGAGTCGAGTTACGGCCAATTAGTGAGTCGAGTTACGGCCAATTAGTGAGTCGAGTTACGGCCAATTAATGAGTCATGTTACGGCCAACAAGTGGGTCATGTTACGGCCAGCAAGTGAGTCATGCTAGACCAATCAGCGTGTCGTGTTACAGCCAATTAGTGAGGCCTTTTACGGCCCAGCCCTAAGTTATACCATGAGCATTAGTTGAAAGCAGTCAAATTGTTTAGAATTTTCACCAGATCAATAAATATAATGTTATGATCTATGGATTAAATATTTGGTTTAAGTTTTTCAACTCCATGAAGTTTTTATGTTATTTTCCAATATTTTCAGATGTTCTTTCAATCAAGTTTACTAATGAAAGAGATTTTTTTGAGATTGGCAGCCTAATATGTTTAGTGAACACGATCCCAAATGACTTGTTCACTTTGTATTAATTAATGTTTTATGTTATGTTATAATTCGCAGGTGTTTGCTGTCGAATGCTGCGTAAGGACATGATTTGGCCGGCTTTGCATCCTGTGTTGGAGTCTGTGGTGGATAGACTATCGAATATGACGGAAACTCTCCTCAAAAGCGCGGTGAGTATGCCGGCTGTCGAACGTTGCGGTATGTTTTCAATTACATCCAACACAAGTGGTTACCCTTTAGCATTTCTAGTCTTGCATGGCTCTCTAATAATTCAGGAATTTTACATTTGTATATTTATCTTCCTTATTTTCTGTGTTCTTGATTGCCACAAAAAAAAAAAAAAATTCTGAATTTTATTTTTCTTCACTGGTCCATGAAAAAGGTGTTTTTGGCTTTTATTATTATTGGTTTGGCTGACCAAGTCCTATATTGCAAGTGCTAGTTGACATTTGTTGAATTTCTGTTGCAGGATGCAGAGCGCTGTTTCCAACTATTAGAGATTTGTCAACAAATCTGCAGCGCCATGTGGTTGGAGCAGCTGGAGCATGTCACTAGCCTCCACTTTCATCTTATTTACACCATGATCAAATTGCCACACTTCTCGGCAAGGATTAATGCTCTCAAGGTAAATCTTTTTGCCTTGTATCTTCAACAGCATCGCAGTAAATAAGAGACAAATACTACCAGAAGTTGGAATGTCGTAAGCCTGTTATTAAAATCTTTGGTAAATATTGTTGAAAATAATTACTGCCTCCATATGCACCTTGTTGCAAATGAAAGCGTGAAGAAGACTCTGATTATCCACTGGAAAGTTGGAAGTAGTAAGGTAGTTGTAACTGTGCAGCGACGCTAAAAATAATAGTTACTGGCAATGATAAAAACTAACTTATGATGATGAAATACATTTTGTCAGAAGTACAGACAATCAAAGTAAAGAAGGGTACCGTAACTGGGTTGTTCATGCCAAAATTTGAAAGGTGAAACTTCAGTGCAAGGTAAAACTTCAGTGCTAGGGTGAAACTTCAGTGCATTTGGCTGGAATAAATCGTGATATATGCTGATTTAATTTATGAATTTTCATGTTTTCAGGGTTTGGGCAAGCTGATCTCCGACAGCGACAAAGGCCGCTCTGGTGCCCAATCAGAGCTTTATGATATCGACTACGTCCAGAATTGGATGACAGAAAAACGAATTCTTTTTTATGCATTAGATGGTGAGCTGGCTGATAACTCTGGGGTTCTCTGTTGACGATGGCAATTTGTCACTGCAAATAATTTGGCAGAAGTAGTTATTCAAGGTCGATAGACATATTTAGTGGAACTTAGAATGATTTTATATTCTAGTAAATTTTGCGTGTTTTGCAATAATCTTAATTTTATATTATGATTACCTCGTAGTACACTGAGATTAATGAAATTGACAGGAAACCTGGACCAAATCCAGTACACTGAGCGTATGCGCGAGCTGATGGACACTCTGGCCCCGAAGCTGCGCATGGAAGACCTCACGCGCATCTGGCAGCTGGTGGACCGCGCCGCCAACCCTCAGGTGGTGGACAACATCCACGCCATCCTCGAGGTCGCCGCCAAGAAGTTCAGCCCCATGCAGTACGAGCACATCCTCGGCCTCGTGTGCAAGGTGAGGGTTGTTGTGGTGTGTCATAAGGTGAGGGCTGATGGGGCGTGTTATGAGGTAAGGGCTGGTGTCACGGGATTGTTTTTGCACTTGTGTTGGGCCAATCTGGTCTGCAGCAGGTGTAAAGGTGTCGTGCTTGGCCCTAAATCAGTTGAGATGTTTAATTTGGCCCAAAGGAGCTGTGGTGCTAACTCATTTCAATTATTAAAAGTACATTTTTTCCAGAGCTTTGACAGCGGCTCCGAGCGGCTGAAGGAGAAGCTGCTGACGTTCCTGGGCACGATTGGTCGTGACAACCGCCTGGGGCGGACAGCGGAGACGATGCTAGACGTGGTCTGGGGGCTGGCCAGACGTCCTGACCTGCCTGCCCACCTCGTAGACCGAGCCATGAAACAACATCTCAACATTCTCTCCCACTCAGCCACCCGGGACTCGGTGAGTGTCCGATCTTTATGGCTAACGAGCGACAGTTTGGTCAAAAGGATTTCCCGTCGTAAACCGATTCATGACACAGCCTATCAAAATCCTATCCCACTGAGACAGGTGGGACTCAATAGGGTGTTCACTCCTGATGACTTCCTAGTAAAAGTTAACGATCCAAATGATTTTAGTGCTCTAAGTTCACTTTCTGAGCCTAGTTTCGATCATGACTCATTTATTTTGTTATCCTCAGTTTTCCTAAAGTTGTATCCCTATAAGTTTAATAAGGCGACTGTACAGGAAAAAGAAGGAAAATTTGATGAATTAATTTCAAGGTAATTGCAAAGCAACTGAGAATGAAAGTTTCCATTCATGCTGTAAACTTGTGGTCTGTTTGGACTGACAAATAAAATTTAATAATAATAATTAAATAAATATTATCATTAAATAAATATTATTTTCGTAAATTTGCTTCTCCCACACGAAGGTTGAATATCACTTACAAAAACAACACCGTTTGTACTAAAGCTAAACTAATGCAGTGTCTAATTTCTGTTGTGCTAGCTCCGTCGTGAGTACATCGTACGCTGCATCACCGACATCAAGCGCAGTCCTGCAGTTTTTCTCCCACTGAAGCAGCTTCACGTTCTTGCTCAGTCACTGACGAAAGGCGGGCATGGCTACTTCAAGACTGAGAAGGTCAGTCACCATCATGCATTTAATCGCGTTGCTGGTGTTGGTAGAGTGACACTTGGGACGTGTGGACTGGTTGCTGAAATGTTTGGCGGATGATTTGTTTTCATTTAATATGTTCTATTCAGGTAAAAAAACAATAGTCAACTAGAAATATTTTATCTAAGTTCTCTCTCATGATTCACTCCGTAGATTGATAACTATTTTGTGTGTATCATATTTTTTATCAAAGCGGGTAGTTTTTCCCTTGCATATGCAGATTTCATTGCATTTCTAGCATCGAAGCTGCAAAATCAACCATAACCAAAATATTTTTTACAAATATTGCTTTCACTGCCTGTTGTGAACAACTTATCACGGTGCAAATTGACGAAGTTCACTCTTTGTGCAGTCAATGTTGTCTGACATCTGCCGCCAGCACCAACTGATAGCATTGCTGGCATCCAGCCTGACCAAATGCCATCAGCTGGCGGTGCAGAGTAAAGGGGGACGACCTCCGCTGCCCGACACCCTCATAGACGGCAAATATACTCACAAACAGGCGAGTACCTGGCGAACGCTCTAAATCAATTAATTATTGCAATTTGAGCACACGAGGGCCGAGGGACCAAATAAAACCTTGTACATTTACATAGTTGCAAGTGTATGCTGTTCCTTGTTAGCTTGGTCATAGTGTTGATGTTGGCGTTACATCAATATCGCAGTTTTGATCTTTTATTATACATCAATATCGCAGTTTTGATCTTTTATTATAGGCTTTGATCTCAGGCACCAGTCGCAATTTCATCAAGGACTGGAAATTTCTCGCGGTTGTTACTTCTTGCAACCTTTCGTCATGTCTACGGAGCTACTGATCGTGCTCGCGTGATCGTGACCTCGCAAGCACATCCACGCGTACGAATTTAGGTTGCTTGTACACCACGTAGCTGCCGCGAATAGTATGACATTTTGCCCTAAACTGATGCTACATCTCTCGGTTGTACAGTTGAAGTACCTCATTATAAGTTTGGCGTCGTTGGGCATAAACAAACTCGCTCGTACAGTCCCGGATCACTGCCGTCTTGCACACTACAGCGCCTGACTCCGCATTCTTAGCCATACAAACATAAGCTCTCTAACATTGACTTGTGATTTATAATTGAGGTTATATATTAAGGTACCCTCCAACTACGCTCTGTACGCACAATTAATGACATATCCTCTGTTTAACTTATTATCATTTGCCATCATTTCAGTACCTGACCGTGCACATGGAGTTCCTCAAGTTTCTTCTGAAGGAGGGAGAACAATTCCTCACGTCACGACACGCCAAAGAAATCTGGGACACATTAGTGACCAATCCATGCGCTTCTGCTTATGACAAAGAGGTATTTCTATGGCCAGTTTTAAATCATGTTTTTTATGAGTTTGATTTGGATGGTATTTGACTTTTTTTTTGTACTTACTTAGACTTTTTTTGTACTTACTTAGACTTTTTTTGTACTTTTACAAACACCAAATTTACGTTTGGTGTTTGTTATTCAAGATTTTACCGATGGTTTTTCTTAAAAATGAGTCATCAATCATATTCGTGCTTTTCATAATTACTGGTGTTGGCTATTCATCTTGAAATGCCTGTCACAGTTAAGTTGTGGTGGTATACTGACCTCCTTGAAAATAAAGTGATGTAAATTTAACTTTCAAATGTTTCAGACATGCTTCTTTCTGCTGCGGGTTTGCCTGGAGGATTTGGAAGGCGCGAGCCAGCGAGAGTTGTTGCTGGAGCGCCTGCTGCTGCTGCCGCCGGCTGCTCTCACACGTCCTGCCTACACCTGCCTGCTGGCTTTCTGGACGGCCGTTAACCGCACAGACCGCCGCCTTGTCAAGTACAACGGCACTTACGTTAGTATTTCCTTAACATAGAAATCGATAGTTTCTGAATCGCTGTTTATCTTTGTGATCCGATAACTTATTTTGATAGAAGCATATTGTTTTACTGCGAGCGCCATCACCATTTAGTTCTAATGTTATTTTAAAGCTAACTTTAACATTGTTGCAGGAGCAGAACTACTATCGCCTTGACTGTAATTATTATCCTTGTTAATTGTAGTGTGTGGACTCGTTGGAGCTGCTGGGACAGGACTACCTATGGCGCGTGCTGCTCGAATGCAGTGACCTCGTCATCGTCAATCACGCCGCTAACCTCCTCCTCGCTGCCGCCTTCTTCAACCTCTCGCCCAAACTTAAGAAAAATCCCTCTAGTCTTCACCAGAGATTTGTGAAAGACTGCTACAGGAAACTTGATGTGCGTGGTGCATTTTTGTCCAGTTACATTTTCAGAGGGAGTGTTCTGCTTCGAAATGTTTTAGCTTATGTTCATGCATTGTGAGGTATCAGCTGTGATACCTCAGCTGTGATACCTGTGTAATTCGCATGATTTTGATCAGATGTTCGAGATTGCTCATGTATATATTTTTGAAGTTCTTGTTTTCAACAACGTATGTAATTTAATCTATAACTTGTTTAAATGAATTTTTTCTAATAATATTGTTTCTGGACCATTTTATTTGTATGAGGTCTCCATGCATGGTGTTACAGTGAGTTTAATGACTGGAGTGTTGCAGAAGGCTCTCGGTGAGCTTAGAAGTGTGGGCAGCAGCGAGGGATATGACACAGCAGATGCTAGTGTGGCAAGTGGCACGGCAAATCTCGTGTCCGCCGTCACGGCCGCCACCAACACCCTCACCGCCATGGCTGTCACTGGCGCCGCCGAGATCCCGCCTCCGCAGAAACCTAGGTTCGTTCTTAAATTTGGACTTCTCAATCCTTGTGGGTGATGAACAATTCGATAAATTTTCAATAATGGGGACTTTCCGCCTTGCTGACGATGTTAATGACTCGGTGCCAAATAGATTAATAGCTGAAGCGCTATCAAACCATTTACCATACCACTATTACTACTACTTCTTCCTCTTAAATTTGATGCAACATTTAAGAAGAAGAATATTTTAGGTCTTTGTCCACGAATGTTCTTACCGCAGTAAATTTAGTTCTTACTTAGAGGCCTGACAAGGGCAACTAAAGTTTAATCTTTAGACAAAGGGTTAAAATGTTTACTGCATTAGTCCTCTTAATTTGTGTCCTAATGTAATGAATAGATCGACTTGCTTAGTCTTGCTTCCTCCATCTTTAGAAGACAGGCTCTTGCTTCCTCTATCTTCAAATTATCTGATTTTTCTAGCTTTTAATATCGTCAAAGGATTCTGAAGTTGTTCTATTGACTCTTAAATTGACGAATTTCTATAAGAATGTTGGAATCTCACAAAAGCGTACAAGAAAAAATATGAACGTGTGAATGTGCACCAGTGAATCTCACACACAGTTTTCTGTGTGCCTTTGAAAACCATAGCGAATCACGAACTTACAGGGAACTGGTGTCATTTTGAAAAAATAATTTTATGTGTGTGGACATCACTTTGTTTTCTATGCAGCTGGCGGGGCCTGGTGTCACAAGTAGAGCGGCTCGTGTGTCTGTGTCGCGAGTACCTCAGTCGTGTCGAGGAAAGCTTCGCTTGGCCGCGCACGCTTTCTCCTCACGCCGCCACCTTCACCGGCACGCCCCTCGTTCTGACCGTCACATCGGCTTCTCCTGCCATCACCTTGACACTGGCAGTAGGTTGCGCACTACCGACATGGATCTACTTTATGCTAATTATATTTCAGTTACGTCGTATCGGCAGAGATTGTCTGGTGTTATTGTGCATTTTAGTAACTTATTTTATTTCTCCTGCAATAGCAATAGCATTACAAGTACCTGTAGAAAGATTTACGATTCAGTTATTCACTATTTAAATATTTTTAGGTCTCTTGTGTCCTTCAGATTGAGAATACTTCAGAAAGTTATACTGATGCAGTAAATGCATTAATTTCATTTTTGTTTTCTCAGAGCCACAGCCATGAAACGATACGCTGCTTACGAAGTCGTATTGTAGCTGCCATAGATCAGCACAACTCCTCAATAAGCAGCTCCGCGGATCAACTTACTCAACTGATTTTTGTGATCCACCGCGACAAGTGCGAGAGGGAAGAATATTTCAAAATAACCCCGAGCAAAGATAGTCCGTGGGAGTTCACTGCAGGGCCGGAGGAGGATGAATCGGATGTGTTCGAGAGCTGCGATGCCGACAAGACGTTCTCAGCCCGACGTCATCTGCCTGCGGTTCATAACTCATCTGAGAGCGGCTCTGAATGGACCAGTGAGAGGCAGCAATCTGACGAGAAAGATCTCGAATCTGTCACTTGCATCCTCGGCGAACGTGACAATAAACTCTTAGCTGAGTTAGGAGTCACTGAATCTTGCGAGCTGAAACTTGTGTTCAGTGCTACTGCAGCTAAAAATTCAGCGACCAAGGAGGTGAGACTTGTCAACTCATTTACGCCACCATTCAGGCTTCATTAATTTTATTCCTATTATACATTGCACTTGCATCTCAAGGTAGCTAGGCTAACGTGTTTAGGAGCACATTGATCCATCTAGGTCATTTAAAAAACTGACTGATAGTGAGGCTCTATGATTCTTGAGAAATTTCTTTCCATAACAACAGTAATCAGTATGCTGGAAGCTATAACTTGAAAGTCGTTCTGCACCTTACAGATTTCATCAGTTGACTCTTGGAATGAGCTGCCTGGACCGAGTAGCTACTGCGACTCAACAACTAGCAGCTCGTTTTTCTCTTCTTCCTCTCCTCAAAAAGTGACTGTTGAAGCTGCAAATCCAAGTGACTCTGTAAATAAAAATTCCTCTTCGAGCACTGGTTCCATAAAACTGACGCTTTTTGACCGACTACAGACCACCGGCTCTCGCATCACTGCTGCAGCGGCTGGAGCTACCGGTATGAAAAATGACTCGGAATTTGTTGGCGCTTGTTTATTGATGGAAATCATGGTGTAAATTGGATCAGAACATTGTATAGGCCTGCATTTTAAAGATTACATGTTTATGTCTATTTTTTTAAAATTCATGAAGACTTGGAGTTCTTTATAAGATATATCAGATTGTTTAATTATGTGTCTCATATTGGTGACCTTTACAAACGTGTAATTAATAGGTCTTCCAATCTAGTAGAAAACAAAAAGTAAGCAAATTCTTCTTATGATTCCTTGAATTTGACATTCTAATGGTTTACTAGGAGGTGGCAGCAACGAAAGCGAGGATAGTGGCTTAGCTGCGGCCTCTTCCCGACAGTTTGAAACTGAGAAATCTTTGCCCGGGGTGCTCATGGCTGAGAAAGGTTGCGAGGTCTTTGAGCTCTTCTTCAGTCTGGGCACATTGCAAGATAGAAGGTGGGTTCTCATTTCTTATATTTCCTTTCATCTAGTGCCAACATGTTTGGTTCACATTCTTTTGGTTTTTCTTGTGCAAATTGTAGCTACGGCGATCACTGTCAGTGCAGGCCTCACTACTGGATGCATTGTAGAATGGGGCTTTACTACTTCTGGGTTAACGCCTACCATTCATGTTCACTTATTTCTACTACGCAAGCTTCAGTTCGTGCTGATGATGACCAAGTTTACCAAGTGCCTGCGGCGACTAAGTTCACCAAGTGCCTGTGTCAACTTAGTCAACTAAGTTTACAAAGTGTCTGTGTCGACTAAGTTTAGCACTTGTTGATGTTGGTCAGAATGGTGCTGTGTGCGCGTGCGTTGCTACACGTCATTCCCACACACTCCGAGCTACTGGACCGTTTGGACGCCGTGGCGAGCAGCTGTGGCGACACTGACGCTGTGGAGCTGGCTACTGCTGCTGGGTATGCCTTTGTTTTTTATATTTGTGTGAGCCTTTCGTTCATGTTTCTCCTAGACTGTATAGCGTTATTGGTGGTTTAGGTGCATACAATAATTGTGTAAACGGTATTGGTGGGTCTGATAAAAACAAAATAAATTGATTTGCTGTGACATTAAATAAAACCAAGCGACACGTTTTACAGGTGATCTACTTGAACATTGTCACTCTAGGTATTACCTATAACTTACACCGCAACTAATTTGTCCAAACCATTGCACCAGATTGACAATGCTCCACATGATACAGCTACGGCTAAATCCTAATACCGTATATACCTTGTCATGTGCCTCATAACACCTGGTTTTCCTTGAACCCCAAACGCAAAAGAATATTATCCTCATTTGAGATTAGTCGGAAATCCATTAAGCGAAAAAATATTGCGTAAAAATTCGAATTCAGCGTGCACGCTGAATTCGAATTTTTACGCAATATTTTCAGCGTGCACGCTGAATTCGAATTTTTACGCAATATTTTCAGCGTGCACGCTGAATTCGAATTTTTGCGCAATATTTTTTCGCTTAATGGATTTCCGACTAATCTGGTGTTTACCCAAATAAAGAAATTCATGTCCAAGCGGTACAATGAGGTTGCCCCCGAGCGCGACAGTAGGGATGTTGTTTATTGCTCTCTTCCATATTTCGGCCTTGCGTCCAAAACTATGTCAAGGGAGCTAAAACTTCTGTTTTCTAAGTATTTCACAAATGTTAACCTATGTGTTATATTGGTCAACCATTTTAAAATCGGTTCTTTTTTTAGGTACAAAGATACTCTCCCTATGCATATGCGAGCGTCCCTAGTTTATGAATATAGTTGTGCACGATGTGCATCTGCGTACGACTCATTCAGCTGTGCGGGCTCACGCCGAGCAGTGCGATGTTCCAGTGTCTGACAGTGACTTCAAAGTTTTAGCTTCCAGTTCCGGTGTTTCTGATTTACGCATTTTAGAATCATTGTATATTTTTAAACAGAGGCCTAGTTTGAATTTAGCTTTTAGCTCTTACCCGCTTGAAATTGTAAATAGATAGGTTTTACAGCTTAGGTTTTTTGTTGCAATCATGATTGTACTAATTACTGATTTATCTGTGTTCTAGAATTTTCGAACTGACGATGGAGCTGGACTCCGAAACGTTTTCTTTAAAGATACTATGAATTTTTGTGGAGTTTTCTTTGCTTTTAAGTTTTTAGTGAATTTGCGATTCAAGCAAACAAGTGACACTATTACTATTGACATATCTTGATAGATCATTGAAGAAGAGAATCAACAATAATATGAGAGATTAAAGCTTAATTCCTGTTGATTGCAAGTTAATATGTGAGCAGCGAAGGCAGCGGCAGAGGTGAAGGTTCCTCGCCCGCCAAGCGCGAGAAGCTCCGTGACAGCGCCGCCAGCGTGGGCATCTTGCGAAGTCTCTTCGACCCTCAGCACCCTGGCATGAGCCTCTTCACTCTCCTCTATAACCTTGAGGTGTGATAATTATATATATATATAATCAATGCCATCTTCAGTCTCCTCTATAACCTTGCGGTGTGATAATCTATAGCATCTTCACTTTCCTCTATAACCTTGAGGTGTGATAATTATATATATAATCTATGCCATCTTCAGTCTCCTCTATAACCTTGAGGTATGATAATCTATAACATCTTCACTTTCCTCTATAACCTTGAGGTGTGATAATTATATATATATAATCAATGCCATCTTCACTCTCCTCAATAACCTTGAGGTGTGATAATTATATACAATCTATGCCATCTTCACTCTCCTCTATAACCTTGAGGTTTTTTAATATATAATCTGTAAATTAGGGCGGTAAATCTTGGTTCAATGCCCCGTGTAGTGAGTAAAATGGTAGGAATTTGATGTATTTTCTATTCCTTATGCTACTGATTGATGCAATCCTAATACCCCACTAGCTTATTCTAGTATATCTACCTCGTCCCAATTATACACGCAACCCTATGAACCTATTATATACCCGCTAAGCGATATTTGAAAATCTCATCGTTTACTCAATTTATTTTTAACGAAACGGTTGCGTTGTTCTTGATCATGTAAGAGATGGAGATACTAAATTAATGATGTGTTTGTGAACTTACCCTGGAACGCTAAAGGACGTGTGTTTCTAGTGAATTTTGTTTACCATCCTGCAGGCGTTATCAAGCAAGTTGCTCCATTCAAATCCTTCAGAAAATCGCCTTGATCGGAAGTTTTGTAACGAGTTCTTAAGGTGTGGAGGGCTACGCCTGCTGCGGAGATTATTAGAAGAGGATACATTGCCTCCCAACCCCTCCTCTCGTCGCAACGCTGCTCAGGCTTATGGGTACCTCAAGAGAGAGATCCACTTCCGGACCTTGCATTTGCTCAAGTGAGTTCCCCTATATTATTTCTACTATATTCATCAAAACTAAAACTAGTGTTGCAGTAGTTGAGGGTTGAATTTATACAAATCAGTTAGCCTCAACGCAATTAAGGTTCTAAAACAAAAACAGGGTTTAATTTGCAGGTGACACAACATAAAATTCTCATTTCAGTGCATGGGTGTCGATTGAATTCTATATTGACGTTCAAACAGGTTTTTGCGTTGCCTGCCGGTTGACATTTGTGTTTTGGGCTTGTACTTCATAATTTTAGATTTTTAGTGTTCAACCTGATGGATATGACATGAGTTGTGTGTGAACTGTCATGTATGTGTGGCCGCAGGTTGTTGATGTGTGGGGCTGGTGAGCTGCAGCGGCCGCCTGCAACCCTCAGTGCCTGTCCCAACACCCTCAAGCAACCCGCCTCTCAAGGACTCCATTCAGACAGCTCCTCTGCTGCCACTTCCGCAGGTTAGCTCATGAAAAAGATCCGATGTACGACAATCAATAAACAAGTGTAAAACGTCTTCACATGATAGCGAATTATACTAGGACCAAAATACTTATTACTCATAATTATTTCATTAAAAATTTAAATTGTAACTGATTTTAAACCACAATTTACAGTACCTATAAGCAAGGTTTAACAGTGCCCTATAAGGAGGATGATTTTTGTGGCTTTCTTATATTTAGTTTCCTAAGTATCCTTTTAATACGTATAAGAAATTCTAAGGGTTTTTGTCTATCTCGGGTGCTCATATTCCATCAGATGTTCGATTTATTCAGATTTACACACCTTGAATATTTTTACCTTCTCAGGTATCTCACCTGTCAGTTATCATCTATTCAGGTATCACCATTTTCAAAATTATCCTCACCTTCTCGTTTATTTGAACAATCTTAGCAATCTTCCCCATCTCATTATTGCAATGTTCGTTTGTATTTCCACCTCCTTACGTTTGTTTGTGTGTTCAGGTAAAGCAAACGAGCGCATTCTCTCCGAGGAGTCGCTTCTTAAGGATGCTGGACCTGCGTGTCACGGTCCTGCAAGAGCCGCAATCCTGGTGCTGTCGGAGAGCGACTGGCTGGCGTTTCTGGTTGCCGTCATGCGCACCGCCACTCCTTCTGTTGCTTCTAAACTCTTGCTGCCTCTGCCATCTGATATTGACGTCGTCATCAAAACAGTTGACACTTCTTCTGACCCAGAGAGCTCTGCCACTAGTCCTGATCTATCAGGTTAGTAAGGTTGAAATTACTGCTCACTACTATTAGAATAGAATAGAAGTGTCGGCACTGAAGAAATAGGCCCATAGGCTTTTGTATCAGACCTGGTGCTCTAAACGAATTGAATGATTTTTGTGGCTTTATTGTGGGGAAAAAAATTTTCCTGTTGCGATTTTTCATACCGCTCTTATGCCTGGACAGGAAAAAAATATTGGTCACCAATACTAAGATGTATGTTAATTCATGTCAAAAATACTTGAAACCAGTCTTGATATGTCATGACTACAATGATGTATTGAAGCAAGATTATATTTATTGTCAGCAATAGCACTACGCTTGTCAGCTTGTAATCCTTGTTACATTTTAACCTCGTTTGCTACTGACAGGTGGTGCCGGCAGTAGTTTGGAGGTGTCCATGCAAGAAGCCCAAATAACGGCGCTATCCGTGTCTGTGCTTGTCTCGGCTCTCGCCATCAGACCAAACCTCATTGGTGAGTTCAAGTTTGATTTATAATTACGAGCGATTCAAAACCAATATTTTTACCACGGCAAAAACAACATGTTGTTGTTGTTGTTGTAATTGCCCATCCTGGTAGTGGCGGCTAGGGAGGGGGGGTGATAGGTCAGTTTTTCCGGTCACTCGGTACCACTGGTAGTTCCACGACCATCACTGGCTCGCTGACCCGCCAGAACCATTTTATTACATTACACAACACCCTGGACAAGCCAGGTACTCGTTTATCAGCCAGAGTTGGATGAATGGCTGAGTTGACCATGAGCTGAGCTTCCCGGAAGAACTTGTCCTCAGTGGGACTCGAACTCGGGAGCTGGGTGCGAGAGACAGTCTCTCACCACTGCACCACCTCAGCTCTCAAAAATAACATAACAACATTCATGAAAGGATAATTATTAGTGCAATCTTATTTGTTCTGAAGTCGTCTTGTAAAACTTTGTCTATCTGTCCGAACTTAGGAAGTCGAGTGGCGAGTTCCAGACCTGAATCAATTTTGATAAGTGTCTCTTCCTTAATTTGATGTTGCGTCTATTGTTCATCATGCAAATATCACGATTTCTAGTCAATTTTTTACTGATAATATATGTATTATATGGTATGCAGGTAGTTGGTACAGCGTGCCAGGTGTGCGGCAGTACCTGCTGCAGCTGGTGCTGGGGTGCAGCAGTCAGCTGGTGAGGGAGGCAGCAACTCAACAGCTAACTATCCTCACGCAGCTCAACACAAGCGTACAGCCCCACCCTAAGCTCTTTGTGTCTCTGGTACGCCAGGCTTGTTTGTACGATAATTTTGAGTGTTTGAAGCAGATGATAGCATACATATGTGAGTGGAATATCCTAGGGTCTGTAAAATAATCTAAAGTACCAATATTTGTTGGATATGTCAACACAAGCGTGCAGCCCCACCCTAAGCTCTTTGTGTCTCTGGTACGCCAGGCTTGTCTGTACAATAATATTGTTTGTTTGAAGCAAATGATAGCATACATTTGTAAGAGGAATATCCCATGGTCAGTAAAATAATTTAGGTATTTGTTAGATCTGATAGTATGCATTTACAAATTTAATATCCCTGGTCATCGCGATGAATTTAGGTGCCAAAGAAGTGAATTGTTTTGCTTGTATTGTCAATTTGTACAACTCTCCCGTAATGTCAATAAGAAATAGGAATGGAGGAATATCACAAGAAAAAAATATCAGTTCAATTGCTTAGTTTGACTATACTGAATTGTTGTTTAGTATACCGTATTGATGACCAAATCATGTTCTTCATTAATTTCAGCCGTGATGAAGAACATGGCTACATCCTAAACTCTTAGCTAACTTTAACTTTCTATATTACTCTGCTCGTGGAAATAATTGTGATGATAAGTAATTTTTGAACCCATGAATTACGTGCGAATGGATCTTTGTTAAATTTGGAAAATCCGCCAAGAAATAAATAAAACTGGGAATACAATGGCTAGAGCTAGACCAGCAATACGGTTCTGATTCCATACACAATTGTTAGTTAGAAATTACTGACCAATGACGTGCTATTAATTTCAAAACACGTTTAGGTTCTGGTGAAAGCTCCCCTACCATTGTGGGTGTCTACCTCGCACGCTAGAGGCGCTGCACCGACCATCATCTCTCAGTCCCTGGAATATTTCAAACTCAGGTGAGGTCTGCTATTTAAAAATCAACTTTTATACCACACGCGGTAATATACTTGGTTCATCTCGCTCAAACTATTTTTGAAAAGCATCTGCCTAACCTTCCACGATTCTCCACTTCCTTGCTCGCCTAATGTTTAAAGAAAAATTCAAATGAAGATTCTTCTTCCAAGTCGATAGTAAACAATCGATGAAACTAATGTAAAACTTCTAGGGATTACTACGAATGTAAATTATTTTTGTGATTTGAAAATGCCGTTCCAGTCAATGGAGAGAAACTACGATCCGTTCATGCTTATTAGCTCTTTGATGCTTAGCTCTTTGATGCTTATTATCTCTTTCATGCTTATTATCTCTTTCATGCTTATTATCTCTTTCATGCTTATTATCTCTTTCATGCTTACAAGCCATGAATTGCGTGCTTATAAGCTCCTAGTTCGTAGTAAATAACAATCATAATAAAATCAGCGTTACAATACATTCAATTCGACTTAGAAGTACAGAATATTATCAGTAGTCAGTACTGATGAGAAACCTACCCGCTGCAGGTCCCTGTTGCTGTCACGTCTGACTGCAGAACAGGAGGCAGCGCTGGGCGTGTCAGCGCGCCAGATGCTGGAGGATGAAGTGAGTTGGCTGAGTAACTTCACCCTCACCAGACCTCGCAGCCGACACCGCCCTGAGAGTGCTGGTGTAGCTGCGAGACGCGCCGCTGATGACACTCTTTGTGCTGGTACGTTGCTTATCTCATTGTATTCTGAGCTAATTTCGTTGTATTCTCAGCTAATCTCGTACTATTCTCAGCTAATTTCGTTGCATTGTGTATTGTATTTCTACCAGTCGCAAAATGTGAAGTACTTAGTAATTAAATGCAACGCAAATGTTTGCACGTTAGTTGGATCATAAAAAATTCAGACGTCTAAGGATTTGCTCACTTAGGCCTTAGAGTCTTGTTCTGTTGTTGATTTTGATTTTATATTATGTCGTGGTGACATAAATCCTTACAGTGAATGATTATCAAACAATTTTGAACCGCTATTTTAAACATTTCACTCCGCTAATGGGATATATAAAATGAGACATATGATGCTATAGAAGTTTAGTGAGTTTAGGCTTTGATTGAATCAATCTCGAATTCCAGAGTCTACCACTTGCAATCCGCTAGAATAACAATATTTAAATTCTGAACTCAGTTGAATCCCTTGAATTGCAAAATCTTTTACATGTAGTCCCTTAATATCTTTAACGTCACCGCTTGTTTCAGGTCACCTAACGTTGGTTCGCGCTTTACTGACGGCGCCTGGTGTCGACTTGCTTGAGTTTGGCCACAAGCTCATCCCGATGATAGTGGAGGTGTACCTCTTCCCTGCCGCGGTCATGATTCTTGATGACCGTGCCCAACCCGTGCTCGAAAATGCTGTCAAGTGAGCGTAGTTATGAATTGCTGTCAAGTGATCGTAGTTATAAATTGCTGTCAAGTGAGCGTAGTTACGTATTTATCTAATTTTACTATAGGTAATTTCTACGAAGAAAAGCTGTCGGACCACTATGCTCTACAATCTGCGTTAATAGCCCCTAAGTTGTATTAGTTTTTTAACATTGTTAAAACGTTTTTAACACGTTTTTCTTAGCTTAGCTTCGCGTTTGTTTGTTTGTTTGTTTATTTGTTTGTTTGTTTATTTGTTTGTTTGTTTGTTGTTAACATTGACAACGAAAATTAGCCCACTTTTGATTGTTCTAGAGATCTGAAATTCGGCATGCAGGGTATTTTCGCCTAACAATTTCAGATACAATCATAAAAACTAGTAATTAGAGACCGAAATTAGTTATATTGAGTAAAGTATATATAAATAGTATATATATATAGTATGACGTGCGGGCGCTCCACGTTATAGACGAGCAGGCGCTTACGCTGCGTATCATCGATACGTACGTCAAGTCAAGTAAATTGGATCGCAACAACGTTTTTCATGTGTAGCAACGGACTAAAAAGTAGAAAATAAAATACTTAAAAAAAACTTTTTTAAAAAACCACGTTTTTCTTGTGGACTAAAAAGTAGAAAATAAATTGTGGCTCGCCCCAAAAAAACGTGGGTAAACACACGAATTTTGGAAATTTGATGGTAAACGTACAGCCCGACCCACGTTTTTGGGGCGAGCCATAATTTATTTTCTACTTTTTAGTCCACAAGAAAAACGTGTTTTAAAAAAAAGTATTTTAAAGTATTTTTTTTTAACTGTGCTTGATCTTTATAGTAGTCTTCATTATAAACAACTGCAAGCCTAAAGAACGCAAATGAAAAAGGTCGAGATTCTAACATTAATTTGTCTCTGCTAGGGCGTACAATGGCAAGTGTTGTGGAGCTCTAAGTCGTCAAGAAGCCTTCTTACTACTTGTGCAATTGAGCCGTGGACACCCTCTGAACATGGCTTCTCTAGCACACAAGATCCTCAGACTGCACCATTCACAGCCGCTTACGGAGTGGGAGGTAAGCACGCCATTGTAATATTCATGTCACTGCCGTTATTAGGTACTCCTTTTTGAGACCATTTGTAATGAAGTAATTCGTTTCTTGCGTATTATTATCGTAGAATATATTTTTTCTCTAACGCTACATCAAATTTACATGCCTGATTATCCAACGTCATGTGACAGGCATGTCCGACAGTAGAAAGTCGGGCTGCTTGCGGTTTCGTGGGCCTGAAGAACGGCGGCGCAACCTGTTACATGAACAGCGTCCTACAGCAGCTCTTCTTGGTGCCGGGTGTCAGGGAAGACCTGCTCTCCATAACCATTCGCGACAACACCGAGACAAGGTAGATATTTTCTTATTTTCTTTGATTTTCCTACTGAAATGGAGTTTGTCATTTTAATTCAACAATATTCAAGTCAAAGCCTATTCTCTTGAGATATTTTAGGAATTAAGCCTAATTCATGTCATGGTGTTACTTCAAGTCGTTATTCAATGTGTTACTGGCTTACTACAAAATTAAAGTACCTATTTAATCAATTTTTAATTTCGTAAAAGACGCAATCTCTATGTTTTAAATTTTGTCATAAATAATAAGTAAAGATGTTGAAATTACATTGCATTATTCCTCTAATAAATTTAAGTTCGCACAGCTTACTGTACCAGCTGCAGACTGTGTTTGGTCATCTGCTAGAGTCAGAACTGCAGTTTTACGAGCCTCGGAAGTTTTGGGAAAGTTTTCGTATGGACGGACAGCCCGTGAACATCCGAGAGCAGCAAGACGCTTTTGAGTTTTACACGCGACTGGTGGAGCAAGTGGACGAGTGCCTCAAGAAGCGGGGCATTCAAAGAGTGTTTGCGAGGCGCTTTGAGGGACTCTTCTCCATACAACGTTTGTGTCAAGACTGCCCTCACAGGTAAATGCTATTCCTACTTCGTTCATGTTTTGACGATTGGAAAAACGTCATTGTGTATTATGGTCGAAGTATTATCTCCACTTTTTATATTCGCTTAAAGTTGATTTCTTTGTAAATAAAGGTACAGCTAACGGATTCAAGATTTAATTTTTTGTTCATACTTGGCCATGGTAAAAATATGTGACGACTAATGGAACAGCCAAGTGAATAGTCAACTAATATAATAGCCAAATATCTCGTAACTCCTAGTTAAAATGAAGGATATAGCATCTGTAACTTATGAAACAACCTAATCTTTCAGATTCGAACGCGAAGAATCCTTCTTGTCTCTGAACTTGACCGTGAAGAAACTTGATGCCTTGCACAGCTCGTTAGACCAGCTGGTGAAAGGAGAGTTGTTGGAAGGTGACAATGCTTGTTACTGTGACATTTGCCGTGTGAAGGGACGTGCTGTGGTGCGCACATGCATTAAATCTGCTCCTCAAGTGCTCACTATTCAGCTGAAGCGTTTTGGCTACGATTACGACAGAGGGCGATCGGTCAAGTTTGATGATCATTATGAGGTGAGTAATCAATTATATGCGTTTAATTGCGAAATTTATTAAGATTATTGATGAAAATATTTCATTGCAGCAGCTAATAACTAGGTTTTTGCGGTTTGACTAAATAATGCAACATATTTAAGGTGTTGAAACTCGTACTATCTCCTTAAGCGCCAAATTTTGAATTAAATGTTTCTCCACAGTTCCCTTGGCTTCTTGACATGGCCCCCTACACAGCTGAGTATTTAGCAGAAGTTGAGGACAGTGTCGTCAAAAAACTCGAGTGTGACGACAACAGCCCGCGTTCCACCACACCTTCGCCTGAAAAGGAATTACAACCTCTGGCGGGACGAGGCAGTTATGCTGAAGCCGTTGCGCATAAACCTGACATTATCCCCGTGAGTATCAAAGAAGCTGTGAGTGGTGGCAGTTCTGGCTATGGGGAGGATTCCTCGAGCTCCGGCATGCAAGACGAAGATACTGAAATGATTTCGCCCGATAAGGTTGTAGGATCTCTTCCTCCATCCCCAGCCCTGACCTCTTCTGCTAAGTCGTCACCCCTACCAATAAGGAGAAGCAGCCGGAAGAAGAACGACACGTCAGAGAAACATTGCAAAGACTCTATTCCTGAGGGTCGACAGGTACCAGTTAATCAGGACGGCAGACAAGATTCAGGCTATGAGCATCGTCGAAGAACTCGTCAAGAAGCGCTCAGCAGCTCCAGCAGCACTGAATCCAGCGACGTATTCGTTTCTCCGACGTCTCGCACGCCTCCTCCAATAGATGGTGACAAAATCAAAGATCCCTCTCTCTCATCGTCACTCCCAGCTTCTGCCTGCCGCGTGGGTCCGTTAGCGACGCCTCCTGGTGCTGTTGCCCTTGCTGCAAGCGAGGGTTTCGCCACCCCTACCTCCAGTCCTCGACCTGTTCGCAAGTATGTTCTGTACACTGTTTATCGAATTAGATCAGTATTATCTATATTAAAGCAGATCAGTCTTGTTCTTCTTACGTGTGAATATTTTTCTGCTTTTTATTGCTGTGATATCAGTTCTAAGATATCACTACTTCACATTTCACATGAGGCGTTCCTCACGAACGTAAGTCGCTGTCCTATTGCTCGAAATATTGCTTGTCAGTATTGGGTCAAATGAATTTCTGTTACCTTAATTGTGAGTCTTAGTTAAAATTTGAGCGACAGGATCCTTGTTCTGTGAGACTATGAACAACGTTAAGAATAATGACAAAAAAAAAATGAAAGAATAGAAGGATTTAGACTAGTGACATAAAAATCATTCTGCTTTGCCAGACCCTATCTCTCACATTTTATGAATAAAGCCACCTATATTTAATTCTCGTTTTTATTTTTAAACCATTTTAGTGATATATTAACCCTTTATTTAATCTGTAATGTTGTTTGCAGTCGTAAGAATCGTGCGTTGCTGTACGACCTCGTGGGCGTTGTGGTTCACAGCGGTCAGGCGGCAGCTGGTCACTACTACTCCTACATTAAAGACAGGAGGCAAGTGCCAGCATTCTCTTCTATGTAAAGAGTTGATCTCTGAAACAATTGTGTTTTCCATGTGAAATCTGAGAAATTGATCAGCCGCTAGAAAGTTTTTTTATTATATTATTCAATTAAATTACCCTTTTTATTAGTCTATATTAGAAACAATCATAAAGCAAAATACACAACGCTTGCAGAGGGGACTCGCTCACTAATCCTAACAAGGGAAGATGGTTCAAGTTCAACGACACTACAGTCGAGGCTGTGGAGATGACGCAAGCCATGCTGGAGCACGAGTGCTTCGGAGGCCAGTACACCGCGCCCACAAGCTCTAGTAAGAAATTTTTAGCAACTTATTTAATGATGAGTAATTAATTCAATGATGAGTAACTTATTTAATCATGTAATTAGAGAAATATAAAGGAATAACCCGAGGTAAACTCTGAAGTTTCTGCTCTCATGAGCTCTGCTCATCATAGTGCAAATGATCTCAAGTATTCTGATTATTATTATTATCAGATTATTATTATGTTATATTATCAGGTTCGTCGTTACCAGAGGAGCGTAACCGCTACTGGAGCGGCTATCTGTTGTTTTACGAGCGTCGCGAGCCCCGGGGCAGCTTGGCGGCGCCAACGCGCACCACGCCTGCCACGGCACCTCGTATTCGCCAGCACTCCGCTCGCTCGCTGAAGCTTACGCATGGGTCTGTTTAATTTCTTTCTTAACTTCATTTGGAAAATAATTTTACTTTGAATTCTTGTTGCATTGTTTATGAAGATGTATTCCATTTGGCTTTAAGAAACTTTCAAAAATTAATGATTCAGCCTGTCCTGTTTGAATAAGGACTATATAATGTTTTCTTTCTATACTTGCCAGGAAAGGAAAATACATTAGTGTTACTAGTTACCTACCATTAACCAGTTAGAAACTATTAATACTCAGAATGTATTTTTTCTCTTTGTTCTCGTGCATCACGACTCATGTGATACTTGCAGAGTGAGGCGCGCCCTCAACCTGAACGTGAGTCCAGTGGTTGGTCGCAGTCGTCGTACTGAGGAGCCCCAGCAAGTTCCCGCCACTACTCCGTCACCCACAACCTCCAATCCTCCTCTCGTGTCTTCCCAGTCTCAGTGCTTCGACTCGGCTAGCGACGTAGCGCAGCAAGTGTCCAGAGAAGAGCGCAACCGCGAGCGTTTCGCTCGTAGTAGTCTAAGTGAGCTTCGCGAGCTCATGGAAGAGGGAGAAAAACGTGGAATCTTTTCCCAGCAGCGACTTCCGCCTCATATCCTCGCTTCAATCGTCCACCACAATCTTGAGTTGTACCGCAACAGATGCATTTACGTCCAACCTTACTATGATTTTCTTGCGCAATTGTGTGGTTCTTTGGTTCTCCCCAGCAGCACAGAAACCCAGTCTTTTGAACCCATTCCTTTCGTAATAGAACCTGCAGCAAACTCTAGTTCTCGGACATCTGATGATCCCAAACGCTGCCAGTCATCATCTTTGACAAAGGTAAAATTTTCTACCGATGAGCAACTGGCTCATAGTCAAGCCACAAAATTAGCCTTGTCGTTTCTATTCAACTCTTACCTGAGACTGAAGAACAAAAAGAGGAGCGTAGTAGAAAAGTGGTGCCAAATATTGAGCGAGATTGTGCAGTTCAGTCCGGCTGGCTGCACCGCGGCTCTCGAGTTCTTTTCCGAGGACTCGGGTCACCGGCATCTACGGCCGTTATTACTGCATTCGACACACCGAGGCATGCGAGAATGCTGCAGTACTGGACTTAAATGTGTACTGCTGGAGGCTGGCAAACATTGCAATGGAGACGACACTCTGATGTCAGCCCTCAAGACCCTCATTAAGACTCTACTTGAGATGCTTCGCGATGCTGTGCCTTCCGCTGTGCAGCACAGTCAGCACTACTTTTCTGTATTGTTACAGTTTTGTTCGCAAGGCAAACGAGAATGTAATCTCGTTCTTAAAGCTGGAGGCTTTAGTCTGCTTATGCTCTTCCTCCTTGGCAAGGAACTATCAGATGATGCGGGACAGCGCAAGACAGACTGTGACGAGCTCAACACCGAAGACAGCACCCGACGTTGGACGTCTGTGCAAGCCCAGGAGTTTGGTTCGGTCCATGCTATCTGCGCTGAACTCATAGCCAGATGTGATCTGTCATGTCTTGCCACTCAGTCTGCTCCAACTAACATCAGTATGGCATCAGTTACAGCAGACTCTCCTCACGACGATCATCATGACCAGAGCATGACAAATGTAAGGCAAAAAATCAATGCTGAAAGACTTGTTAGTGAACGTTCTGAGAGCCCCGTTCTGATGGAAGTCCACCATGACGTAGAAACATCAAAAATGTGTGACTCTGATCAAAAATCTCCCAAGTCCAGTTCTAAAACAGAGTATAATCAAGACTCGTTTATGACAGACCTTGCTTCTCCCAACGTTACTCCTGTGCAAAATGTGCAGCAGCATGTCTACTTGGATAATTTTGACGGAAGCTTTGGTATAACGCCGACTGCCAGCATACTTGAGGTGTTGTCAGGGAATAGCGTCTCTATACAGTGGCTCTCGATTGTAGTGACTGCTTACAGGGAACTGCTCGAACCCATGCCAAAAATGACGACTGTATTAATGACTGCCTGTGTCAACAATAGGCCTTTCTCAACAAGCCTAATCAGCACCGTGCTATCTCAATACTCCAGTGCACCGTCCAATATGTTGAGGGAGCTGTCGCAACTACTTCTCGAGACTCTTACCATTAGTGATCAGCTTCATGAAGAGCGCGTTGTGTTCCTGCTAGAAGGTGGTATAGACACTCAAGGATCCAAGTGCTCTGGTTTACTGGAACTAATAAACGAGTACCACACGAGCGACGTGCGTCGAGCATATCAGTGCATGAAACTTTGCGTGAACATTTCGTCTCGTTTCACGTTAGCTCGCGATGTGCTTTCAAATACGAGCTCCAAGTGGCATTGGGCTGTAGAGTGGCTCAAAGACACCATCCACAGTGCGTTGGATTCATCTAGTAATTTCAACGTAGCTTCAGCAGCTCTCAGCAATGAAGGTAGCCACACAAACGTTTTCCAGCGCACCACTAGCGCCCAGATGACTCTTGAGGAGGCAACATTTCTCCTCAGCCAGATGGAACCAGCCGATATTCTTATGGACACTGAGAACAGCAACGATGGCTTAGGCGATATTCGCGAAGATTCTCCCACCCCTTCGAACCTTAGTGGATCATCCGTACGATGGACCTAGATGAATTTTTTTTTGATTAACCATCTGAAATTTCACATGCCAGTTGTATCCCATCGTCGTATGTCAATTAACTCAAAGAGAAACATGTGCGTTTTAAAAATAATTTAGAAATGTATCTTACCTAACCTTGTTTTTTTTTATATTTTTTTGCAACACTTATGTCATACCAATGTTTTGTGTGACTTCTAAAAGGGTTGTTTTGTACTTTTCTATGCATCCTTTATACTTTAACTTATTATATTCTGGATGGAAAATAGTACTTTTCTCTTAAATACCTCTATTCAATATGCCAATCTCTTTGAGAACTACATCCTTTGCCTGTGAATAGATCGAGTAATTTATAGTATTTCCACTAAACAGAAAATGTGCAAATTTAGTTGTTATAAGAAAATTGGAGAGAGTGCCATGTCTGAGGCGTTTGCTGCCCACATATCCTGAGTGTTGTGTGTGCCTAAGAAATGCCTTCAACTATTTAGCCTCTAGATTTTTTTTCTCTTTCGGGATGGGAACAGAATGAAAGTACAAGATTCCCTCTATCGGCCGTGCTATGCCTACACATTACTCAGTATTATACTCGCTCTCGTGTTCTTTTAAAAAATTAGAGATGCTGTCGTGATATTTTACTCTCCATTTTCCTGTTAATAGTGTATCATTGTGATGGTTGCCTCTATTTTGAAGAACTTGAGCTCTACGTTTAGTGGTGCTACTATAGTAAGTTTCCATGAAATTTATAAATCAAGACAATTTTCATTTCCGGTATTCTCTTGGCGCTCATTGGACTTAGCATTTGGTGTTGACCAACAATAAGTAGCAGTGTCGTAATCATTCACTTGAATACATTTTTCATACATTGATCGAGCAAGCGAAGTGTTTTACATACTTTCGAGCATGACGTCAAAATTAATGTTCATTTTTTTCAAAAATCCAGCTTGAGCAATAGTATCCAGAGGTGTCCTGTGATTATTCCTGCTCGTTCATACGTATTATTTTATTAGCCTCCTCGACTACTTTTGGGTTCGTTTTAAAATTTTGTAATATACTCCTGTCAAGTTTCAGGCACTGCATAACTCTACTCTAATGATCAATGTATGCAAAAAAGTTTTGCTGACATAGCTTACTTTCGTTTGATATCTAGACTTAATTTTCAGAGTTACCATTGATTTTCTAGCATTAAGAGCGAGACGGATTGAACCTGCTCGATATCGGAGTTTGGAATAAGTTTAAATGTACGAACATAAACCTGAACTGGATTTCTTGTGTTAAAATGCTAATTATCTTTTATTGAAAAGCGCGTTTTGATTTTCGACTTGTTGGAATGCCCGACAATCCTTGCTCAATAATTAATTTATCGTTCTAGCCGTTAGTTCATTAATTATTGTACATGATCAATTGATCGAAATGGGAAGTAGTTGAGAATATATATTACACTTGTAAACGTTACTGTGTGACTACCAATTATTAGACGAAAGTTATATAAATTAAGATATACATGTGACTATTGATTTTATGACGTAAAGCAGGGGATGCCAAACATTTTCTAGTGATTATTGTGGCAGGAGGATGCCGTTTATTGCTACTCATTGTTCCGCCTCTGCCTACGTGCCGACAGAGGCGCTTCCGTGCCATCGCTTTGCTTAACTGTAGCCTTTGTTCCCATTCCGTATTGTTAGCCTACGTAAAATTCGATGAATCCGCTACGTTTGTTACAAAATTATTGCTTCAATATTGCTTGTCAATTATCTTATCAGAATTTTTACCCCTTATTTTCTTAACCAATCTAATTTCACTATTTAATGAACATTGTTCTATCATTCACTTGTTGCGTTGTTGGGACGTCTTCGCCTATGTGATTGTTGTTTAAGCGTACGCAACCGATTATTATATTTGTACATATTCCTTCAACAAATAGTACGACTTTGTCTGTGGATTTTATTATCTATGGTACGGCGAGTGAATCTAAATTTTTTCTAGGGTATGAATTTTTCTTTGTGTCACCTCGTTAAACACTTGAACGTAGTTTCAAATTAATTTCTCCAGTGACTGATGATGTTTAAACTATTAAGCCTTCTTGTGGGATCTACAAAACAATACCTTCTGGTTATTGATTGTTGCGAGGGGCTGGATCGTCCAGTCTCATCTACAGGAAGTATTGATATCGAGTAAATGCATCTTTCAGAACGATCTAAGAAGGATTTGCCATACTTTTTTGTCTGCGTGTGAAGTTTTAAAATTTCTTACCAATAAAATAGTAAAGTATTTCGCTCGTTTGTTCTCCATCTTCGGTTTACGAAATTGTGTTCAATATAGGTTTCGTTTGTTGGCGGTAAGAATTGATTTCATTATATGTGCAAAAATTATTAAAGTATCAAATTTAATAGAGTAATTAAAAAATTAAGATTATACAGATCGTTTGTCAACGCCTAACCCATTAGGGTTGACGCCTAACCTAACCCTTATATTAATTCTGCAATGACTTCTTTCAGTGCTGAAAGATCCGCTAGTAAATGTGGAAGTTTTTCTTGAGTCATCAGAATGATCAGTAGCTAGAGCGCTGCCTTTTTGACACCTGTTGAAACTTTCTTCTATACTTCAGTCATTGCAGAAATACTTCAGTCTTTACAGAAACATGTACAAAAAAAAATTAAATGAACCGAAACTAGCATATGCAGTTTGAAACTGCAATTTAAAACAACGTAGATGAACATTTTCCCTGAACAGCCAACGCACGAGGCGACATCGCTCACTTAAATGAATGTGACAGCTTAGTTGAAACGTCGAACGAGTCTACAGGGTCAGCCATATTTATGGTAACGGATGTTTGCTATATAAAAATTAATGGGTTTCTAGGAGACTTTTCTTTTATAATGAAGCTTAATATAATCTATTAATTCATCTATTTTATATTGCAGAAGTCTAAGGTGTCTAAATTTACTATTACTTATGGCAGTAGATAGAAATGCAATTGTAACCCTTCATGAAAAGGCCGAGAGAAATTCAGTCATTGCAAAAAAGCTCCAAATTCGTCGTGAAACTGTGTGGAAGGTGGTAAAAAAAATTTAGGGAAACTGGTGAAACATGCAATCGACCTGGTCAAGGAAGGAAACGAAGTGTCCGAACAAAACAATTGGTCAAAAACACGAGGGAGAAGTTGAGGAGAAACCCTCGTCGCTCAGCTGCAAAATTGGCTGCAGAAGCAGGAGTCAGTCAGACATCAATGCGTAGAGTCCTCAAAGATGACCTCAAAACCTCCCCTTACAAGATCAAACAAGGCATGAACTAACAGACGTCATGAAGGAATGAGGCTTGAAAGATGCCAGAACATTCTGGATCTCATTGAGGATGACACGCTACCCAACTTGGTGTTCAGTGACAAAAAAAATTGATATTGAACAAAGCTTTAACCGTCAAAATGACAGAGTTTGGAGTCGGGATGGATCTGTGGCAACCAGAACAGCAACACGACGTCAAAATCCCATGTCCGTGATGGTTTGGGCCGCGGTAACCGCCACTGGGAGGTCCCCACTCGTTTTTGTCCTCTCTGGAGTGAAATTAAACAGTTGGCGACACATTTCGGACATTTTGGAAGCTGCGTTGTTACCTTAGGCCCGTAAACACTTCAACGGCTCACCATGGAGTTTTCGACAAGACTCTGCCCATCACATGGCTCAAACATGACCCAAAACTGGATTCAGGGTCACATCTCAGCGTTCATCAGCAAAAATGAATAGCCCTCAAGAAGCCCTGATTTGAATCCTCTCGACTTTTCTGTGTGGGCTATTTTATAGAGAGTCGGGTCTGCAGAACACCTCATGATTCTTTGGATGGTTTGGAGTCTAAATTGGCACGAGAATGGCACTTGATCCCTCAAGAACTGCTGCGTGTCTCCTGTGTAGCTTTCCCGCCGTCCCGCGTAGATTGGAGGCCGACATCAAAAATAAGGGTGGTCATATTGATTAAATATGTCTGAGAATTGTTTAGGTAATTATTGGCTACTAGCTCATCCAATAAACAAACAATGCACCTGCTTGTTTCATTGAGAAATAACAATAAACATGCGTTGCCATAAATAAGGCGGACCCTGTATAAATGCGTAATTTGCTGTGCTTCATCAAGAGAATAACATAAAACGTGGTCATAAAAGTCAATTCAGGTTTGATAAGATTTAGTTCGAATGTTCACCCGGGCATCGTCCACTAACCACACAAAGAGGCTTTTGTCTTGAGTAATTACATGCTAATTAGCTCTGTGGTCTGCTGCGCGAGACTTCGTCTTTAACATGTTTTTATTGAACACAAATATTAGAGTTGGAATGAAAGATGACAAGTATCAGAGCTTCTTTTGTACCTTCCCGTTATAGAGAACTTTAAAAATCGGTGAGGTGTGTGGTCCCAGTTAACGGTTTAAAGATCATCATCTATATTATATATATATATATTATATATATATATCTTTGGTAACGAAGTTGCCTTATACTTGTGTAAGGTTTGGAAAGGGCATGCCTCAAACTCGTTCAAGATTACATTAATGGTCATTGGCATTGACAGCAATGGGAATTAAAAAAAACAGAACCGTATTAATAGACATGCTGATACCGAAACCATTTACTGCAGCCTTTCATTTTTCTAACCGCCAACTACTTTCGTCGCAGCGGATAAACTCATCAGTTTTACACTATGATGTTCCTGCTTAAACCATCTTGTTCAAACGTTACACTGTAACGCACCACAACCTGTAAATTGACTTTATGGCGACAGCTTGGAGTGGCATTTTCATGGCTGAAATGTCTCCTCATTATAGAAGACAATTCATCATTGGGACGTTTCATCAATTACTATTAAGTTACCAACCTAATCTACATGTAGATGCTTATGTTTGCAATGTGCACTTTATGCAATGATGAAATATAATGGTGAATTACTGTAACGATGAAATGTCCTAATGATGCATTGTTATAGTGATGAAATGTCACGTATGATGAGGAGTCTTGTCATCCATTTTCGTAACCAGTGACCCGTCAGGATGTAAGTCATCAGTCAACGACCACAAGGCTCGTGACCGCTCGTCCGCCCCGCCCCACTGTTCGAGCAGGAAACTAACGCGGATGCCTGCTTCCTTTCATCATGCTTAGTTATGATAAAGTAGAAATTCTTTATTAAGTACAATACGTACGCGTAATTTTTCGGAGAATAAGAAACTGGAAACTAGAATAATCATTCGGTCAGGTTATATACCTTGTTCAATGATGCCGATCGGTGTTTTTATGTAATTTAAATTTGTTTTATTCTCGTCTGTTTGGCTTTTGTACATAATTTTAATTCAGTTATTTAATATAATCATGGAAAACAGTAATATAACAAACAATTTTTTCATGCATTGATACAATTTTTTTTACTTCGTGGCGTATTACTTTTAAACAAATCGTAAAATTTATCTCCGTTTTTTTTTCTGTCGTCTAGCTTCCGACTGTGTCATGTTTTCTTCATTAGTAAATACAAGACTGGCATCTTGAGTGAACGACGCATCGAGTTATCGCGTGTCTTGAATTACACGTTCATATGTTTCTCATATTGCAGGACTGCAAACTCCACTCAACAACCAGGTTTATTTGTTTTGACGTGAGCGACATTGAGAGGCAATGCATGGCTTGGCTGCGACGTACATTTCTGTGCCCACGCTTTGCTGCGCTCTGCCGGACAGTCGACTTCTAGACGCGCGTGTGTGAAGGGGAAGCAGGCTGCATGCAGTGTTACAACAGCTCTTACGACGCAAGCAAGAAATTACGCCGAACGAGAGTGTTAGAATAATAAAATCATTGCGTGGTGCCGGCTCAGGGTTTTTTAATGAAATTTGCACCACGTTTGTGAAACATTTAATCAGTTATACAAATGAAGTTAATTAATTTGCTTCCTTTTTGACTATTGTTGCGTTAGAGACTTAGAATGTTCAATACTTTAAGATATGAGCAATACCACTTTACGTAGCCTAACTGTTCTTTCTTACGTACTCCATCTATTAATATGATATTAGCTAGTTCTTGTATGAATATGAATCAATTTGACGGTTTTTCGTCCATTTTATTTTTCTATTCCTGTAAAAACTAAAAAATCAAAGCGGATCATGCAATTTTTCCGCTTATTTCATGAGACTCGCTCAAAGAAAAAATCATAATAATTAGATGTATGTGATATATTCATATTCAGTGAACTTATTTGTTTCTCAGTAAATTTTCAATTATAATTATCTTACATTATCGTTTATTTGACTGAAACCAAAAAATATACAAATAAATGTTTTTAAAATATTTTTCGTGATCTGGTTACCTACTGATGCATGGTTACTTAACTCACTAAAAATTATTCCTTATAGTTTCCGTATACAGTACAGTGACTGAAAGGGTCACTTTAACAACCAAGTAATATCCCGAAAGTGATTGCCGCAGATAGCGGCAATAATTCAAATTCCAATATGAGCGACGACAAAAACGTGCCTCTCACGGTAGTTCCACCAGACATTCAGTGTCCTCTTGAAGATCCTACAGAGACCGAGTCTTCTGTAAGAGATGAACAGGAACCATCTTCCTCTGAAGCACCTACGCCTGCGGGTCCTGTAGAAAATATCTCTACCGGAGACACGGAGAGAACCAGGAAACTGAGCGAGCCCCAGTCAAGAGTCCGAAAATCTTCAATTATTAAAATGCCAAGCAGCGACAGAAATGATAAACTAAGGAGCCGCAAGTTTTCAGAAGGCAACATTCACGCTCGGCAGAGAAAGATCTCTTTCTTAACCACGGTGGGTCGCTAACAAGTTAAGAATGGTACGTTAAATACTTTTTGTTAGATCTTTAGTGTGAAAAACATATGTATTGCAGGACATTGTTATTTATTTCATTTATTGAATATCCACAGTAGTCTTGATACTCTCTGAATATCTTCGGCGAGCAATTTTCATTTCAATTTTTAAATACGTAGGCACAATTTTTTTGCATTAGTTTGAATGAAGACGTATAAATAATTTATTTGTCGGACACGAAAAATTGTTTTCGCATCAAATGATATTAAATATCACAGCAAACTGTGTTATCTTTTTAAATATTATTCGAACGGTAACAAAATTGTAAAAGATTCATGCAATAGAAATCAAAATAACAAAATTCACGTGCTCGATGGTGATGCGTTCATGGCTTAAGTATACCTTTGATAAGTATTATTTGCATGACAAGATTCCCGACTGCACAATAAATTGTTGATCTTTTAGCACTGCTGAATGATAGATACGGCCACTTAAGCACGCCATGATCAAACTACTGCAGCCTTAAGATATACTTCAGATAACCATCCATTGATACGGTGTACATGTGAGAAAGAAGTAAACACCGCTACTAATTGAGCTTTATTTTATGACAAGACATGGGATAGATCTTATTGCTCTCCGGTGATAATCATGAAGCGTCTTCTTACATTATATGTAAAATTCGTATACATTTATCTTGTCCTTTTTTATTTACAAATGCAAAATGTGTGTTCTCCATTAATTCTATGGTGTTTATTGATAAGGTCATGAACATTGGTTCGTTGTTTATGACCTTGATTTGCGTAGAAACAAGTGTTGATCACTGTCATTAATTATGGAAATGAAGAAGGATGCCGCTCAACCGAAAAACTTATTTATACACGGATCGTGAAGGGATTAAAATACGTTCTGTATACTTTCATTCAATAAGTTTTATTGTGATAGATAAAAGTTATGGTGACTAGGCCACTCGCAACATCAATTGACCTAATCTCACGGCCATTCATGCCCTTCATTATTTTAATATATATGAGGGAGCAAGAGAAAAACATTGGAGCTCGTTACACAAACGACACTTGTTACTTTAATGACGCCTCACACGAGATGCATGTTCGAGCAGCGGTGTCCCTCACGCAGAACTGGCACTCGTCCCTCTGGGACCTAGAAGTTCATTGCCTTATCCTTGAGTTGTTACTTGTGGAAACGTCAGAGAAAAATTATATCTTTAATAAACAGTAGCAAGTAGAGGGCAATATTAATTCAAATTTCTTTTACGTGATTAGAATTTACGTTTGATGTAATTAAATGTTATATTATCAAGCTCAAGATAATGGATGACTTTGGGATTAATTTTTACAGCGTGGTGACAGTAGCTTCTTCATCTTGACATCACTGTCGTTTGTTTGTCTACTTTGTTTATTTTATCAATATTTTATCAAACCGTAAAACGATTAGTCATTACTTTCTAGTTCCACATGGTATTGTCATGCACCTAAATCAGCATATTCACTTGTTTAGCTTAGTAATACGAGTAGCGTATTGGTTTATTAAGCAAAGCAGTGCCATTTTATTTAGGATCACGTGATATAAATATAATTTAAATAAACTCCGAAATTCCGTCACCGTCACTACAGAGAAGTTGGTCAGACTTGGCGTGGTAGACTAGGGTGGCCATGAGCGGAGGCCACGTCACGGAGCTCTGCCAAAACTGCGGCGACAACAGTAAAGCCAACTGCAGAGCCACGACTTGTCTAATGGCGCCAGGAAGAAACTGCGCAACCCGCAAAATTTTCACAATATTATATTGCCTCGTATTTTTTGCTACTAAGCATTGAAAACCTTACATCAGGAGAATCATCGGAATTTTCATTCACAAATTGTGAATCCAATGAAAAAGTTTGTGAGATATTTAACTAGATTTTTTCAGAACACAAGGCAAGACGGCACTCATGTCTTCAGATTCCAACAGAGATGCACGGATATTTATACAATTTATGAAATAACGATTATTCTACTCGAGATTGAGTTTTAACATTGCATTAAAATTTAGCCCTGTGTAATGATTTGACAATATTTTATCAAAAATATCGTTTGCGTTTAAAAAAATTCGTGAGATACTGCCAATGCATATTGATACTGTGAAAAAATGCATTTACGCTGCCGTGGCTGAAGAAATGTTCATTTATCTTTGCGAAATTTGAATTTAAAGCCTGTTTCACAAGTCGCAAACAGACAATATAAAAAAGAACGTAATTGGGAACCTGCCAAAAGTCATTAAAATCACGAATGGTCTTGCTGATCACGAAATGTGTTTGATGACGAAAGAAATTTCAGTAAGTATGACGGAGATAAGAAGTATGTGCGACGAAAAATGCATGCAGAATGTTTTATTTTAAATAATGTTTCTGAAACTTGATTTAGGAGGTTATCTCACGTTATCAGGCATAATCAGTGATAATAATCTTGGGTCCTTTTCAAATGGTTGTGAGTGTTGAATTAAAAATGTATCCCCAGTCTATACTACCCAAGATCACTCCCACCTAATATCTCGTGCAGCTCCAATCATCCATTATTTCCTGCCGGACCTTGTACAGATGAGCAACGCAACGAAAACGTTCGTTCCTCCTATAGTATTTATTACGGACACATATAAAAGTTTATGCTGTTAGGGTACGTAGTGTAATAGCGCGTTTTTACAGTTAGATATTTGGATTTTTGGTTTCAAGTCACCTCGGACGTGACCTCGTTCAGATAAGCACCGAAACTTGTTCATTGCTATATGATCCACCACGGAGGTACGCGTTACTTTATTATTCGGTCTGTTTATTTTTGTGATCATTTTCTGTCGCAATTCAGTGGTGTTGTTTAGATTTGTTCATGATTATGGTTATCAGTCTATAAGTTATTTATCTGGCTTGCGTAATATTCTGCTTTTGTTGCTCAAATATTGCTAGTTCTAAATTTTTGCTTATTTCTTAATTTCAGAAAGGCTCCGAATCTTGAGACCGAAAGTAAGAACTTGAGCAAAGGGAACACACGGTTATATAGTTTTGTCTTTATTTGTATTTGTCGTTTGCTTATTATAGTTTTCATTTATCGTACTCATTCATCCTTTTTTTAACACTATACCCACGACAATGCCCTTTAGAAGGGAATTTAATCCTTCATATAAAAACAGTCACTCAATGAAAGCGTTCGTATATTCAAACGTGGACGCAACCACAACAAAGTTTACTTCGCTTCTTCAGTATTTTCTTGGACACTAATGGAGGGCATACCGGTATAAGGCAAAAAGCGCAGGCTACCAAATCACAGAAGAATAAATAAATAAATAGGTAAAAATAATTTCAGCAAAGATATTAAATTTCACTAAATGTTGCCAATTTGTAATTTGTGTTGTGGTGCGATGTGTGATGTGTGATGCGATTTGTGATGCGATGTCCGCCAACCAAATTTCATTGGTTGGCGGAGCAGATCAATGAAAAATTAATTTATTTGGCGGGAATTCTTTCGTTTAATTTATTTAACTCAAACGAATAATTATTGTAAATAACTGGAATAGTTCAGTCGGCATTTCACGAATTGCGAACAACAAAGGAAACCTTGAAAAGTCGTATGGTTTCTATACTTTTATGATACTTAATTCGAAATTTTGCTCACTTTTGATTCTTTTGTGGTTTATAATATACTAGCGTCTACGTTGAAGATTGGACAAAATCCTGGTCTGCGGTTTGCAACCAATTCTTATAGAATAGAACAGAAGTGTTGGCACTGAAGAAATAGGCCCATAGCCTGTCGCCGATTCTTGTAATTTTCGTAACTTGATTCCACAAGGGATCCGGCCTTATGAACTCGATCTTTCCATAGCTGACGATTGATAGAGATAGCTGCTGGACTTATTGCCTGGTCCGTAAGGTGCTAGGCATTTTAAGACTGAACATATGCTCCTGCATAGCTTCGTCAAGTGAAGTGAATTAAAGACATGAAGGGTAAGTCCTATGAAGAAAGATTAAAGATTATGAAGCTTCCAAGCGTCAGTTAGCGACGTCTGCGTGGGGACCTCATTGATGTATGCAAGTATACTCATGGTTTATACAAGGTCCCCGAAGGATTACTAGATTTTGAAACAAGAACCAACACCAGGGGCCACGTTTATAAACTAAAAAAACTGCGCTGCAACTTGTCCACGCGACAACATTTCTTCTCGCATCGAATCACAGACATGTGGAACAGCCTCCCCGATTACATCGTTGGCGCTCCAAGTATGAACGCGTTCAAGAACAGACTATATAAAGCCATGGAAAAATATATGTTCAGACTTGAAATGCCTAGCACCATATCGAACCTGGTGGAAGAATAGTAGCTACTTCAAGCTATCGTCAGTCGTTAAAAGATCCGGTCAAATGACACGATTTTAGATCTTCTGTGAACAAGGCACGAAAATGGAAAGAATCTGCGACAGGCCACATCTGGGACTACACTTCAGCGCCGACATCATTATGTTATGTTATGTTACGAAGGCTAATGCGCCGGCAGAAAAAGGGCTAACCATGAACTCTCGTCGGACAGACGGGCATGTTGGACTCGTCAACGTTGCTGTCAGGGAGGCTGTTCCACATGTCGGTGACTCGAAGAGAGAAGAAATGTTGTCGCATGGATGTGTTACAACGCAGTTTATTAGTTTATAGCCCTGGCCCCTGGTGTCGGTTCTTGTTACAAGTTCTAGTAATCCTTCTGCTACTTTGTATAAACCGTGGGTATACTTGTATACTTGAATGAGGTCACCACGCAGACGTCGATAACAGAGGTTCGGAAGCTTCAAAATCTTGAATCTTTCTTTAATAATCTTCATATTGGTAGTTTATAATCTTTTATCTTTTTTAATCTCTAATCTTTCTTTAATCTTTCTTCATTAATCTTCATGTTGGTAGTTTAATTGTAAACCCAACTCTGATGCTACAAAGCAATTTTTATATCACAATGAGGGAGGTGAATAATTC